CTGGCTCCAGCTCTGTCACCATTTGAGGTTAGGGCTGTGCTCCAAGATAAAGTGGAGCCCCGCCCACTGGCCCTGCCTTCAAACTCCTCAGCAGTAAGACCCCAACCAGACCCAGCAGAAGTACCCTTTCTCCCAGGCGCTTCCCTTCATCCCTAGCCTCATCTTTGCCTCCTACCCTCATTACACCCTTTCCTCACTCTCCCTCTCTTCTCCTATCTTTCATCCTTATCTCCTTCCTGCCCCCTCACCACATTCATTCGCTTACTAAAAAATAGTCATTAAACACTCTGGGCCAGGCACTTAACTTATTGTAGGAGCTACAGGATAAATAAGGTTAGTCCCTGTCCTTTGTGGAGTTTAGTGAGGGAAGACAGACAAATATGATACCCCAACAAATATATCATTCTAGATTGTGGGTATTGTTATGTGACACAAGGAGAGGAGTGACTGGTAACACCTGATTTAAATGTGAGGATCTGGAAAGACTTCTTTGAGGACATAAAGTAGTTCCTAGTGAGAGACAAGTATATGCAAAGGTCCCTAAGCAGGTTCTTCCTCTCAGGGCAGAGGCTACAGCCAGGGCAGAGCAGACTAGACCAAAGTGGGACAGTGTTGCACAGGAAGAGGCCAAGGGGAAGCTGAGGCCAGAGCTCCCACAGGTGGGGTTTAGAGTGTTAAGGGAGGGCTAATCTTCCAACAGAAGTGGACATTTCCTGGTTTTGTACAAGAAAGGAAGAAATGGCAATGGGGACCAACACAAATAGATTTGTGGCAAGCTGAGGTTGTCTCTGTCTTATAGCTTTTATTTTAACCACACCAAAAATAAATAAATAAATAAATAGAGGTGACTAGCTAGGCACCATGACCCATACCTGTAATCCTAGTGACTCCAGGATTGTAAGTTCAAAGCCAGCCTCAGCAACTTAGTGAGGTCCTAAGAAACTTACTGAGACTCTGTGTCCAAATAAAAAATAAAAAGGGCTGGAGATGTACCTCAGTGATAAAGCACCCTGAGTTAAATCCCCAGTACCACAGGGGGAAAGAAAGAAAGGGTGGGGGGACAGGAAAAGAAAAGAAAAAAGAGGTAACTAAAAGTGGCTGAGTTGAATGGGAGGCTTGAAGCTTGAAGGTATAAAATCCCAGTTGCTGGGGCTGAGGCTGTAGCTCAGAGGCAGAGCACTTGCCTAGCATATGTGAGGCACTGGGTTTCATCCTTAGCACCACATAAAAATAAACAAATAAAGGCATTCTATCCAACCTCAAAAAAAAATTTTAAAAATCCCAGTTGCTGAGGGTGGAAAGGGAACTGATCGCTGTGATTTCTGACTTGGGAGCACACAACTGAAGCTGATGAGGATTTTAGAGTGACAACTCTCTGTCCAGTGATCCTTAGCTGCCCAGGAGCCTAGTACTGGAAATGTTGGGTCCATCTAGGACTGGCACTTAACCAGAGAGGTGGGATGAGGAGGACAGAGAGGGAAGGGGAGTGGAGGGCATTTATCAAAGAGGGATTGTAGTGGTGAAACTGCAACCCAAAGCAAAGAAAGGGAGACCTAAAGATGGGAAGGATCACATGGTTCCCCACAATGCTTGTTGAACAGCTGCAGTGAACCAACTTTGCAAATGAACCAAGAAAAGAGATCATATCATAGAGGGGATGTTCAATTCAGTTATTTCGTAGGTGCTACAGTTTCTGGTGATAAGCCTCTGGGTATACCCCTGGGAGTGGCTCACTGGAGTGGGATGGAGGAGCATGTTAGAGGGTGAAGGAACCTAAAGGCCAGCATGCTGGCAGAGCCTCCATGTGGGTGATGACACATTCATGATGACTGTGCTCCTTATCAATCCCTTCTTGTACCCACCCAGCTCATCACCTCCTCTCCCCTCATCACTAAGTTCCTCCTCCATGCCAGTCTCCTTCATCCCACCACTCTTACTTCTATTCTTTCATCTAAGGTCATCCTCTCGTATCCCAACATTCTCTCTATATATCCTTGTTCCCTCTGCTTGCCACCAGCTTTTCTCCTCACCCTAGTCTTCTCTCTATGTCCTCTTTCTCTCCTCACAATGCTGCCTCCTCTCTACTCTATGCACTTGAGAAGCAGCAGCACATTGTGGGTAACACCTGTGCTCAAGGGCCCATGACGGTTCAAATCCTATACTGCCACTTGCCATCTATGTACACTGCCAACTTCACTGTGCTGTGATGGGAGGGTAATAATAATGATAATACCACCTACCTTGTAAGGTTGCTGGAAGAATTGGTTGAGTATAAAGTACTTGGAACAATGTCTAGGCTATAAAGTAGTGCTCAATAAAATGATTTTATTATCACTCTGTCTTTACATCCTTGCTCTTTCCTCCCCTTCAAACCCCACCCCCAGTCTAGCAAGGAAACAAACATCCCAAAAAAGTCAGGATAATACAAGCAATGCTACTTCAAAGATGTGAAAGAAATGCTATTGGAAAACACAGAGTATGGGCTGGGGTTGTGGCTCAGTGGTAGAACATTCGCCTAGCGTGGGTTAGGCCCTGGGTTCAATCCTCAGCACCACATAAACACACACACACACACACACACACACACACACACACACATATATACATAGAGTAGGAAAATTAGCCAGCTCTGCTAGGAGTCAAGTCTCAACAGGAAAATAACCTGGAACTTGAAAGAATTTGCAGTGCAAATGAAGGAAAGAGGTGTCTCAATGGGAAATCACTTAAGTGTTTCTTCCAGGGTCTCCTACATCTGCATAGGATTGATAGTAGGTCCTCAACAAATATGTTAGTTGACTGACACATCCTCTGTGAGGCTTCACAGAACCTGCTCACAGGAATGCAGGGGAGGGGAAATAAGGTATTGTGTTTCTTCTGCTATAGTGTGCAAAGTTCCACCCACAGAAGGTAGTCAAGATCAACCCCTACCCGGCAGAGGAGCGCCCTCTCATCATGTCCACAAGGGGGCAGCAAAGCATTAGGTGTGCCTGCAGAGTTAGGCCTGGAAAAGTGAAGAACCAGGCAGTCAGAATTTGAATCTGTCACAGAAATCCTAAACAGGAATATTTTCCCCTAGAACTCTGGAGGAGAAAAAAGACCTCAGACACTTGGAGAAGACTAGGTTTGCCTTAGAGAAAGAATGAGAGTCTCCTAAAGATTTGTACATATGTTGATAATGTTTAAATTTTAAAAATTCTTAAAGTTTAAAGTCTACATATAATATGTATTCTTTACTTGACTATTTTCCAGGAGCTAGACACTGTTCTCAGCACTTTATAAATATTCACTTATTGTCACAACTCTGAATACAATCATCCTCCTCCCTTTCGTGTATGTGTGTGTGTGTTTCTGTTTCCTCCTGGTACTGGGGATGAAACCCACAGCCTCCTTCATACTAGGTAAACACTTCACCTCTGAAGACATCCCCAGCCCTTTTTTTTTGGGGGGGGGGATACTGGGGATTGAACTCAGGGGCACTTGACCACTGAACCACATCCCCAGCCCTATTTTGTATTTTGTTGAGACCAGGTCACACTGAGTTGCTTAGCACCTTGCCACTGCTGAGGCTGGCTTTGAACTTGTGATCCTCCTGTCTCAGCCTCTCAAGCTGCTGGGATGTGCCACCGTGCCTGGCTAATTTTTTATTTTATTATGTGGTACCGGGGATTGAACCCAGGGGTGCTGGGGCCTTGCTTTAGGGCCTTGCTAAATTGAACTTGCGATCCTCCTGCCTCACCTCCCAAGCCACTGGGATTACAGGTGTGTACCATCACACTGGTTCCTTTTCTAAATTTTTTATTTTGAGACAGGTCTTGCTGAGGTTTACCTGGAATTTGTAATCCTCCTGCCCCAGGCTCACTGGGATTACAGGTATGCAACACCATGCTAAACCTGACTCTCATCCTCAAAAGTTAATAATGGGATTAGTAGGTTTTGCCCCTTTTCCACACACTGAAGGCTCCACTCTATGGGTTGTGCCAGAGCCTGATAGGAAGCAGGTGTACTCCAAGCAGTTTAAAACATGGAGGGAGAGACACTAGGCCAACCCTTTAAACAGAGGATGACAAGCTGGTTGTGGGAGGAGAGGCCCCTCTTGCAGAGGTGGTCCCCCTCCACCTCTGGCAGGTATGGAATTTGAGTTGGAGGTGTTAAGAAAAGCTTCCCAGAATGATTGCAGGAAAGGTAGGAATTAGCCAGGCAGGGGAGGAGCGGGTATCCAAATGGGGCAAGGGACAGGAGGTGAAAGCACAGAATGAGAAAACAAAACAAAGAGTTCCAAGTTCTCTTAAAAACAGCTTTGAACAACTATTAGTGTCCATTTTAAGAGTTTATTTTCCTTACCCTGCAGGCCTTTAAGAAGGTTCTGTGAAGTCTCACAGACCTAGCACAAGAGCCTCCCATAGAATGCATCAGTCAACTAACACATATTTGTTATGCACCTACTGACAGACCTACACAGATGTAAGAGATACCTACAAGTCTTGCAATTTAGTTAGAAGCCTGCCATTTCTGACACAGGCTAGTGAACTGCAGAGGCCTGTTTGCCCACCTGTGTGCAGGCATTAATGCAGAGTGCTCCGACCACCACCATTGTGCTGACACCAAATTTTTTAGTTCTGGAGAGCTTTCAAGATTTTCTACTCAGAAAGGCAGGAGAATTAGGATGTCAGATAAAAGTGGGTTAGGAAAGGGTGCCACAGTGGAAAAGGAAGACTTATCCCTGGAAAGATCAGAAGAGCCCTCAAGATAACACTCCCCTCCCCCAGCACTGCACCTCAGGCACCCCCAGAAGAGGATGGCTTTGGTCCTTGTGGTTCATATCCAACCTGCTAGCAGGGAACTGTGGATTTAGTCAACAACACTAAAATGCTAGAATAACAAGAGTGGTGGAGGGGATGTAGAGACAGAGTAAAGACAGGAAAGGCAGAAACAAATGAATCAGAGAAGAAGGGGACAGAAGACAAGGTGCAGGGCAGACTGAGGAAAGATACTGATAGAAGATGCTGCTACTATTCCTCCTTGGGGCAGCCACAGGCAGATGTCTACATGATGAGACTCAGAAGTCTGTGAGCCTTCTCAGGCCCCCTTTCTCCCAAATGGCCCCAGACTTCCGCTCCTCCTACCTCACCCTCCCCAACTCCCTTGATCCTCAACCCCTCCGAATCCAAACTTACTATATAGGAGAGCCTACATCTGATGGAGCTTGGGATCCTGAGGGGGATGTAATGAGAGGGAGACCCCGAGCCCTGACTGCAGTGAGAGAGGCCACTCAGCAAATCCAGGGTGTCCTAGCAGGTGAGTAAGGAGATGTGAGGGGACGAGAGAGGGAGGGAGGCCAAGACCAGCACCAAACTGAACTCAGAGAAGTTGAAGCAGAATTGGCCTCATCTTATTAAGTCCCTCCAGTGCAAGGACCCCTGCTTCTGAGTCGAGATCCTACACAGTACTGTCATGCTGTCTGGGGAGACCCAGATACCCCAAACTACCACAGGTCAGTTCATGTTACCAACAGAACATACAACAAGCCTTCAACATACCAGAAATGGCTCCAGCTCAACACGGATATTCTTGGCAGGTGCAGCCTCTTGAACCCAGGGTACAAAGGAGAGACTTGCCTGGGAGCAAAGGTAAGAGACTTCCCAATTTTAGGGATCTGAAGATCTCTTAGACCTCCCCAGGACCTCTAGCATCAGAATTACTCAATTCTGCTTTGATAACAATGTGGAATATTGGTCCCTCTCTACCACAACCCCAAAATATATTAAAGTAAGTCAGGTGGCTGGAATCAGAAATCTGTATTCTCATGGCGGGGTGGAAGGCACAAAGACAGTGTTACTCTTCTCCTTTCCTCCTAGCACCTAGTCTCCCACTGTCCATATCTTTCTGCTGAGCAAGATGCCACATCTGACTCCTTTACAGATACCTGATGCCCATCTCTATGGTTATACCTTGTGGCCAGAGCAGGGTCCCCCACAACTGGTCCAGCCAGATGGGCCTGGGGTCCAGAACACTGATTTTCTCCTATATGTGCGGATTGTCCACACTTCCAGGTGCCACCAAGAGGTGAGGTTCAAGTCAAATCTCTCTACCCTGCTGTGCCTCCCTTAATCTTAAATCTCATGAGGAGAGGTAGAGAGGATTGAGGCAGTTTTTATTAAATTGTGCTTCTTGCACAGGAGCTAAGAACTCACCAAGCCATGCCTTGGTTACACCCTTCAGAGTTCTACCGTCTCCAGGTCCTTCATTTTCAGGGAGATTCCCTCCATCTTGTTATCTCTTTTCTTCCTTTCCACCCCTACCCTCTCCTGGCCCATCTGCAGCCCTCTATCATAGCCTATTCGGCCTGCTGCCAGCTGGACTCAGAAGACAGGCCCCTTGCTGGTACCATTGTCTACTGTGCCCAACATCTTGTCAGCCCCAGCCTCAGCCATGGTGACATTGTCATGGTAACTGGTGCATGATGATTAAGGACAAGCAAATGGGTGGAGGGGCAGGGGAAGTGGACACAGGTCACACAGCTTCCCATGAAGTAAAGAACCTACTGAGGATGGGACAGAAGGTACCTCATGCTCTATGGAGCCGATGCCTCTGGGCACAGTGGCATGTGCCTGTAATTTCAGCTACCCAGGAGGCTGAGGCAGGAGGATTGCAAGTTGGAGACAACTTAGCAAGACCCATCTCAAAATTTTAAAAAAGCTGAATGGGTAGATTTGGCTATAGAATCCGTTGGTTAATTCTGCTGCAAATCCAGTGCCCTTCACTAAAGTCATTTGTCCTTAGGCCACACTTCATGAATTGTTCCATATCCTGGGCTTCTCTGGACAGCTCTTCAAGAAGTGGCGGGACTGCCCTTCCGGACTCAACAGTAAATGGGAGGAATGAGGGAGAGAATTATGCAGTGTCAACCAGAGGGAATTAACTATCTTATGACCTCCTTCCTTCCAGTTGTACTTCACCCTTCCTAGGTTTTCATCTCCTCATATTGCCATCTTCTCTTTCTGTTCCCAGTTAGAGAGAATTGTTCTACAAGGCAACAAGTGACAAGGCGAGATAAGTGGGGACAGCTGCTTCTCACCACCCCAACTGTTAGCCACAGCCTGGCCAAACACTTGGGAGTAGTAGGGGTTTCTCTGGGCGTTCCCCTGGAAGAAGAGGTGAGAGTGATAACTCCTGGGATGATGAAGAAAGAGGGAGTAGCGAGTCAGCAACCAGCTATCTGCTCCCTCCTCTAGCAGGGCCCTTCGTCCTCACACTGGGAGGCCAGACTGCTCCAGGGTTCTATAATGGCTGCTACCTTCAGTGGTGCCCAGCGCACTCGACTTGACTCAGTCACTCTTGCTGCCTTCCAAGATTCAGGCTGGTATCAGGTCAACCATAGTGCTGCAGAGGAGCTGTTGTGGGGCAAGGGTGAGAAATAAGGGAAATCTGCAGAGTAACACTCATGACCCACATTAGCTCTGGGGGAAGTGGGTCAGGTTGGAAGGGATCATCTGCTGCTAAGGTGAAACTCAGGCTGTGCATAGCTGGTGTTGAGGGATGTGTAGGGCTTCATTTGTTGAAGGCTCTCCTCTCTTTTCCTCTAGGATCTGGTCTAGAATTTGGCTTGGTGACCACATGTGGGACCAGCTCCTCAGACTTCTTCTGTACTGGCAGGTATGTGTGCTGAATGGTAGAGGATGGAACAACCGTCTATAATTTGAGTGTCACTCTACCATCCCTTCCACATAGTGGGATGGGCTGCCACTATCTGCACTTGGACAAGGGAAGCTGCTCCTCAGACCCCACACTGGAAGGCTGCCGCATGTACAAGCCCCTCGCCAACAGAGTGAGTAGACCAGTGAGCTGGGTTAACAATGGAGTATACCTGGAAGAGAGTCAACTTCTAAGGAATCAAAGCACACACTTTCCTACTTTCTGCCTTTTCAGAGTGAATGCTGGAAGAAGGAAAATGGGCTCCCAGCTGGGACAGAGAATCCCCATGGGGAGATCTACCATTCCCAGAGTCGCTGCTTCCTTGCCAACCTCACCTTACAACGGCTCCCTGGGGATAAGACTAGCCATCCCTCTCAGATCCCAAATCTCAAGGAAGCAAAGCTCACTGGCCGTTGTTATTTACATCAATGTACCCAAAGAGGTGCATATGAGGTGCAAGTAGAGGGATCACCTTGGGTCTCGTGTCGTCCAGGAAAGGCTATTCAGGTGGGTACCTTAAGAGGAAGAGTTGTGGCACACTGGCAAAGAGAAGTTAGAAATGCTGGTATGGTTGGTAGGATTGTACAACCTGTTGTGATAGTCATTTTTTTTTTTAACCAAGTACTGAGCCCATGACTCTAGAATGTATTCCTTTGAAGGAAAGTTTGAACGTGTAATTGAGACTATAACTAAGCCTTTTATGAATTTCTTTGCAGATACCTGGGTACCATGGTCTTCTCTACTGTCCCCAAGGTCGGCTATGTCAGGCCAATGAAGGTAACAACTCTGTTACTTCTCTACCTGTGAATCTTTCAACCCAAGACGTGCTATTCAAGCTGTCTTTAGGATTAGCTGGACCCCCAGGCCACACACTGCAGGAAGAACAGAAAGAAGAGCTGGCTGAAGCAGTACTGCAGGCCCTGGTGAACAGAGGTGGCACTGGCAGGTAAAGGGAACAGTTCAGGCCATTTATACAGTGGGCCATGGAGAACGTTCAAGTTCTTTATTCTCCTTGGAAGACCTTCTGTTCTTACTCCTAAGTCTACACCTATTTTATGACATACACTCTTCCAAGAACTATTCCTCCATTAAGAGACTCAAATGTCCATTTAGGTGCTATTTCCACAGCCCATCAATTACCACTAGTTTGGTGTTCACTGTGCATATGTGGAAATCCCCTGGCTGCCAAGGACCTTCGGTTGCTATGCTGTACAAGGCCCTCACCCTGACTCTCCAGGAGAAGGCCTTAGAAGTGTATCATGGAGAAGCCAGTTTTACCACAGAATATATCAAGTAAGACAATATTCCAAGCAATTTTTTGAATCCCTGGACTCCAGATGTTCAAAATTGCAGTTATTAAGCACATATTAGTGCATATTGTTTTAGACAGGACTATGTATTTCAGAAAATAAGGATCTCTAACATGATCACCTTGGACCCATCATTATGACACCTCACAACAAATAATAGAGTTCCCCCATCTCAAAGAATCCTAGATCCCTTAGACGTTTACATAACATCTACCCAGAGATGTTATCCAAATACCAGAATCTGATTCTTTCCTTAAGCATTTCCCTAACAGATCTCCTTTTGCTGATGGATCTTGGTCTTATTCCTACATTCAGGTTTTATACTCCTTCTTATTGATTTCCTGTTTAACTTACTGCTTGGATGAAGCAGGGTTTCATGAGTTCTGTAATATAATGGTAAACCTTCACCTCCTAAACTGAGGCATTACTCTTGGCCACATTCTGTGTTCCTAGGTTGCTGGTTACCTGGGACCATAATCCTTCCACGACCCAAATCACTCTGTCTGTGGGACTCTGCCTACTGCTGCTAATTCTGGTGGGTGCAATAGGAATTGTGGCCTATCAAAAACAAGCAACTCTTCAGGTGGGACCATCTGCCCTGTAACATCACTTGATACATGATACACAAGGGGCCTAACTGGAAGAACAAAAGAAGCATGATGTTACCCAGAACATGACAGGGTGTAGCATAGATTATTTAAGACACGACTAGATGGAAAAATCTGTTGTGTACACCTTCCTACTTTCCCTGGAATGCCTCCTTCCAGGTTATCAACTTCATACTAGTCTGGCAATGGAGGGGTGGGGTGAAAAAGTGGAGTCTCATGGTTATAAAAATTTATTTTGGTACAAAAAAATAAACTAACCTGTAAAGTATCACTTATTTTCACACTGTTTTTTGTTATTTTGGTTCTAAGGATTGAACTCAGGGACACTTTACTACTGAGCCCTTTTTACTTGTTGGGACAAGGTCTCAAGAAGTTGCTGAAGTTGGTCTGGAACTTGCAATCCTCCTGCCTCAACCTCCTTAGTAGATGGGATTACAGATGTGTAACACCACATCCAGCTATTTTCATACTATTGTAGAGCAACAACAGAAACATCTGCTACAAACTTCAAGAATATCATGTGTTCTTTAGAAAAAGTTCATTACAATTTGGTATTTTATCAATTTTCATTGCTAATTGGGGTCAAACAGTGTGAAGGAGGGAGTAACTAATTATCTCCCTCTCCTGATTTTCCATAATTTTACTAAATCTCTACTGGGAGACCCAGTGGTTGGGATGTTGCATAATTACGCTAGAGTATGGGAAGGGCAGTAAAACCAGAATCCCACCAAACTATAAAAATATCTTTCCTTAGGCATGGTAGCATATGCCCATAAATGAGCAACTTGGGAAGCTAAGGCAAGAAAATTCCAAGTTTGGGGCCAGCTTCAGCAACCTAGTAAGACTCTGTCTCAAAAAAAGGGAGAGGGGGATGGGAGTATAGCTCAGTGGTAGAGCAACACTGGGTTCAATCCCCAGTACCCTTCCCCCAAATAACACTTTTTCTTGTTCTTCTCTCCTGTTTCTATGGAAGGATTCTACTTTATATCCTTCATGAGCCAGCAATAGACTTCAGTTGTAACATGAAGGTTCCTTTCGGTTACAGTTGCAAAAGTCATTTACATTTATGAGGTTTTGACATCTCTTGGAAGGAAGCAAACTAGGAGACTGATTTGGATCTGCTTAAATGGATAACAATTTCACTAGGAATCCAGAGGAAATGCTGGTAACGTTGAAGTAACCATGCCTATACTCATATGTAAGTTCAGTCAGCTCATTGGGATACTATCCCCAAATCTTTAAGTGACACATTTGAATTGAGTCACTGTGGAGAGATGGTCTTGACTCCACCAGCTGTGGTTATTTTCTTTGATCTGAATGTCTATCAATCCTTACCAGCTGTATCAGCAACTGCTTGGTAAAACTTTGCCACGAAGTCTGGGTCACTGACCTCCAGTTGTCTGACAAATTCATTGCGTTCCTGCTCAGCCCAACCTTGAAACCACTGATCCCAAAGACGTAGCTGACATTCAAAGATACAAGGTGGTCGGTTTGCACCAGATACACTAAGTTGCTCCAGACCATCCAGCAGTGGCTGTAATTTTCCTGGCACTGCCTTTGCTACCAGGTCCTGTAGAAAGCGTTCACGCTGGTGACCTGACCAACTGGCAAACCAGTGAAGAATACACTTCATCTCCTGGGAAGTGATGTAAGACATGGGGGGAGGGGAAGAGTTGGTAATATTGTCTGGTACTGAGGGTAATGGAGAAGGGAAGGATACTGGCATTGAAGAGGAAGATGATTCCAGTGGCATCCTGAAACATAAAAGCACTGTTATACACTCTCTAGACAGAGTAAACTAAAATACAACTTCCTAGGAACAAGGAATCTTATTGCCAACACGGCAAAACCCTGTCACATCAACAACAAAAACATTGAAAACATCATATAGTGTGAAAGGGCCTTTTTGCAATATGCATATAGTCTCTGAAGTTTGCAAGAACTTCATATTATCCATGAATCCAGGATCCCCTTAATATTTTCTATAAAGCACAAGGGAACACTAAACAGCAGAGTGAGGACCTTATCCCAAATTAGATAAATTAGAAAACCAAGAGAAGCCAGGTCTTCAAGGGTCTGAAAAACAAGTTGGTTTGTTGACTTATATGGGTCTAACAAGTGTTATACTGATGTGTGACAATTTGTCTTTGAACTATTTTCCTTAATGTGTTTTTGTGTTTCTTAACGTGTTTGTGGTACTGGGGATGAAATCCAGGGAAACTTTACCACTCACCTACATCCCCAGTCATTTTGATTTTTTATTTTGAGGCAGGGTCTCGCTAAGTTGAGGCTGGCCTGGAACTTGTAATCCTCCTGTCTCAGCCTTCTAAATCGAGATGTATACCACCAGGCAGGCTCCTTAATGCTTTATATACCTATAGGTGACCTCCTATTCATTTTACACCTGAATGCAATCGAACGATCAATTTGATTTGAGTAGTTCCCAGCACTACAGTCTGAATTTCTAGCAATGAAAACCTTAATTTATTTGTCCTTAAAAATAAATTAAAATAAAACCTTAAATTATTTGTCCATATATTGCTGTTTGTGTTTCTTCTGCTCTTAGGTTGGAAGATTTGCAGTGACAAATAAAGGAACCCCTAAACAATTAACATCGGTTCAAGTATCGAAACACTTCAAGGTGACTGCCATTTTCAAAGTGGCCAAACGAGAAAGGGAAATTTTCGGGATCTTGTCCCATATCTTTCACAGCAAACTCAAGTTCAGTGTTATGAATCAGTCAGTTCACTATCTGTGTCTAAAGACATAGTGCTGCCTCTAGCCCGCTTTGGAAGCCACGAGTAACGTATTCCTTAGATGGAGTGGCGGGGATTCGGAAGATGGGGGACGGTAGTTATTTCCATAAGGAAGCACGAGGCTTGCCCTACTAAGGTAATCGGCAACACCGAGTACGACCCAAGTAAGGATTTCTTCCTTTCTTACCTCCTGGAGTCTCAGAGAACATGGAGACTGTCACAAGAGTTCTTTGACTCCAACTACCGCCGCTGCTTCCATATTTCCTGAAATCCCTAAACAGGGCCAGCCCGGCAGCCCACGCACTTCCGGTCTCGAACCAGCCCTAAACACCCAAGAGCCCCAGCGCTTCAGCTCCAAGACCGGAGATGGCCGAATATCTCCGATTACGGGCATGCCAAAGTCGAGGGCTTCCGAATAGATTCGATTTAAAGCCTCGGCAAGGCGAATATAACCGAGCCTCAAAGCAGGGTGAGGGAGGAGAAGCTGCAGGGCGGAGGCAAAGAACCGATTGGTGCCGATGTGAAGACGGAAATACCCGAGCAGTTCCGGAAAAATCCGGGGAGCTTTGAGTGGTAATCGAGGGGTAGACTATGGCAGTGGGCGGGGTCAGCTCGGTACGTTCGAAGGGCGTTGGCGGAAATTACCGAAGATGCCCGAAGCCGTCGGGACGGACCCGAGTACCTCACGCAAGATGGCGGAGCTGGAGGAGGTGACTCTGGACGGGAAGCCTCTTCAGGCGCTGCGGGTGACCGACCTGAAGGCCGCACTAGAGCAGCGAGGCCTAGCCAAGAGCGGGCAGAAGAGTGCCCTGGTTAAGCGGCTCAAAGGGGTGAGAAGTCGGCGTTGCCTGGATGTCGGAGGGGAGCGGACCCGGTAGAGACTAGTCTCTGCCGCGGCGCAGGCGCAGTGTTCGGGCTCCGCGCGAGCTCTCTCAGGCCGCCAGCGCGAGCCTGCGGATCCGCGCGCACGGTAGTTGGTGAGGCTCGCGCTGGAACAGAGACCGCGCCGGTTCCCGCCTTAACGGCAGCAGCGCGAGCCCAAAATGGGAGGGTGCGCGCTACTCTCCTGGAGTGTCTTAAGCTCCTTCCTCCTTCCCCCACCCCCTCCTTGTTTGTGTCTGTGGTTTCGGCGCATGCGCTGCAGAAGGAGTTAAATCCCACTACAACCACCAGCGTTGCTGGCCTGAGGGGGGCGAGTTGGTCTGGGTCCGAGTTAGGGGTACAGTTGGCGGAGGGGTAGCTGGGGTTGGTATCTGTATCTGCAAGAATACGATTGGGATAGGGTAAAAATGTCTGCTTGATTAGATTAGGAGGTGAGATGAAGAGACCCTGATTTGAAGGCACTTGGTGATAGTGGGGTGTCTAGTTTATAGGGAGTCCAGAAGCAATTTGAGTAGATAAGGATTTGGTGAATATTGAGAGAAGTGAGTCAGGTTAGTGTATGTTGGAGATTTTGAATCGATTTGAGTAGATGGGGGTGGGCTTGTCGTGAGGTATGTAGATGGATTGGTGGGTATAGGTTTGGTGAAAATGGAGGGAAGGTGAAGTGTCTTGGCTTTAATTACAGTTCATTAGGATACGTGGCAGGTAGTACCCATTAGGGCTAAGTTAGCTCAAGGATTGACTCGGCAGACCGTTGCTTATACATAAGCTGACGGTTTTGTGTGGGTGTTTGTGGATTAGGTCAGACCACAGTTTACAGGGTTTGTGGTCATTTTCTAATGTAGCCTTCTTTTTGAAATTTTTGTAAATTTGATAAGTCTAGGTGTCACTCTGCTGGAATATACAAGTTCACTCAAGTAGTTCTAGTCCTGGGTAACTGATCCAAGTAATTCATTCAGGCCCCAAACAGCAGCCCCATGTTGGTTTTATGTATTCAAAGCTTGTTTGAGTATTTGAAATGTTCTTACCTGCATGGGCAGTTTTAGAAGGGGCTCTAGTTAAAAGTGCAAAGATATTAAGAGATTGTAATACTAGTCTGTCACACCAACACTGATTGTCTGTATGCCTGTATCTTTACATTTGTAGATTAGGAGGGATAACCAAGGCCACCTTTAAGGGTCTTCAGAATATGAGAACAGTATTAGTAAAGAGCTTTCAGGGCTTCATAAAAGAAGTACAGTTTAAATGTGTATTTAAGTTGTTGAATTTAATGAAAAGGTTGTGGAAGGGGTGGAGATTTGATTTCTTCCTTTTTTTTTTTCCCCCTGGTTTCTGACTTTTGCCCTTCTCTGTACCAGGCTCTAATGCTAGAAAATTTACAGAAACATTCAACACCCCATGCTGCATTCCAGCCAAATTCCCAGGTAAGAAAGAAAGTTTGTTAGATAGAATGGGCTGTTTGGAGATAGACACACATGGAATGACCTGGTTTTGTATATTTGAAGCTTAATTTCTCACCAGTATTTTCCTAAATTCCTTTGGTTGGAAGTATTCTCATAGTAGGGTAATTGAATTCTAAACAAGCCCAGTTTTACACAAGGGCTTGGGGTGAAAAACAGAATCAGGAGCTACCTGTTAGTTTTAACCTGTTAGTTTGAAGTGGTGTTTGCCAAAAGGTATGGCTTAATGTAGTATAAGCATCTGACATCATTTATTTGCCATTGGTTTGGGAAAAGTAGTTGATGTAAAGTAGGTCACCAGTAGGACAGTGTAGGAAAATACCTGCTGATCAGGAACTTTGGTTGACATAATTTTTCCAAAAATTCAATCTCTGTAAATCACTCACCCTTTCTGTTGGTACCTACTAACTATATGTGGTCACTATTAAACATCACTAATAGCTTTGCTACTTAGGAGAAGAAACTTAAACTTGGAGGCCTTGGTTTCCTCAGTTTCCTTACCTGTAATATGAGCAATGGTTGGACTAGAACTGTAGTTTCATAACTGATCTTCTGGAATTATGTGTAGCTGCTTTTATGGATTACCAAAGAAGATACCTTCTTCAGAAGTAAGCAAAGTTTGTGTCTTTCTCTTAAACCAAATTAGTTTGTATTTTTCTCTTAAACCAAAGTTTGTATCTTTCTCTTAAACCAAATTACTATTTTTATTTGCTTTCTGCATTGAGCTTCTGCATAAGATTTCCTCTAAAGACATTATTCCGTCGTTAAAAAGAAAAATTCTTAGACTGCACAATTTCTTGGGGTTCTTGTCAGCTTTTAAAATCCCCTCATTATAATGTGTCACACACTTAAAGGAAAAACCCAGGTCTTTGTTAATGAAGTGTTGAGCAACCCTAGTGCTAGATGAAGTCCCAGGATACTGTGGAAAATAAGAGAACCTTCCTACTCCCTTGTTACCATCTCATTAAGCTGTAAGTATCATAATCTAGCCAGCTTTCAGAGGTTTAGTTGGTATCTTAACAAGTATAAAAAAAAAAACTGCATAAACTAATCAATTTCAATTGTATTCCTTCTGTTAGTTGCATTTTGGTCTTTGAAGTTTTGTAACAAACATGCTTATTCTCTAATACGTGCAGCCCACATTTTATCACTGTCCATTGAATACCAAGGGATTAATTTCTACTTTAGATGAAAATAAACATTATTATGCTTAAGAAATATGACTAATAACATAGGAAGTATTTATTTGGGTTTCTTTGCTTTTTCTGATGTTCTAATAAGACATGCTAAGCAAGAAATGTTCTAGGGCTTGGGCACAGTGGCACATGCTGTAATCCCAGCGGCTTGGGAGGCTGAGGCAGGAGACTAAGGCAGGAGGATTGTGAGTTCAAAGTCAGCCTCAGCGAGGTACTAAGCAGTGAGACCCTGTCTCTGTCTCTAAATAAAATACAAAATAGGACTGGGGATGTGGCTCAGTAGTTGAGTGCTCCTGAGTTCATTCCCCAGTGTCTGCCCGCTCACAAAATGAAAGGTTCTAGGGAGGAGGACATGAAAAGAAAAAACTGGACAAAGAGTTATGTGGAAATCTGTGTTACAGAAAAAAGGGGAAAAGGAATAAGTCCCTGGATTTTAAATTTTATTTCCAAGGATTTCTTTTTGCTCCAGGAAGAAATGTAGTGAGGGTTTTTGTTTTTGTTTTTGGTGGTACTGGGAAAATGGAGTTCTGCCTAAGTGCTGAATGAGCATTCCCCCTTTTTTTAGTCTCTTGATTTCATAATTTTAAATACTGTACTTGAATTTTGGAGATGTTTGACAACATGATGGATTGGTAGGGCTTGAACTTTTTTATTGTTTCGTTTTTTGGTACTGGGGATTGAACCCAAGGATGTTTTTACCACTGTGCTTACCACATCCTTAACCCTTTATTTTTTGAGACAGAGTCTTGCTAAGTTGCTGAGGCTGGATCATCTTCCTGCCTCAGCCTCCAGAGTCCCTGAATTACAGGTGTGCACCACTGCACCCACATTGGTGGAACTTGATCTTTTTTTTTTTTTTTTTTTTAACGTTTTTTTCCTTATTTATTTTTATGTCATGCTGAGGATCGAACCCAGTGCCTCACCTGTGCTAGGCAAGAGCTGTACCACTGAGCCACAACCCCAACCGGGAACTTGATCTTTTGAAGGAAATAGTAGTGTTCTTATCCTTTCAGTTTTAATTTGGAATATCTTTACAGAATGTACTAGATTATCTAAGAATTTAGATTAAAAGGCATAATTTGGGTTGAGAATGTAACTAATTGGGAAAGTGAGAGCTTAGCATGCATGAGGCCTTGGGTTTGGTCCTTAGCACCAAAGAAAGGACATAGTTTCTAGGAATTCTTCTTTCTTTGTAAGTTGTTGTGCACCAGCATCACTCTTTGGTTGGGAACTAAATATTTAAAATAAAAACTGTGTTCTTTTTGCCATCTTCTGCTACTCACAAGGCTGAATTTTAATAAAGGAATAGTCAGAGAACAACCTTCTAACACTTTTGTTATCTTTCTTGGACTCCGCTTATGGGGTAGACCTTTGCTCTGTGAAATTTTCTTCCTTGAATTTTCCTGATTTGCTTTCCTAGATCATCTTTTTCCATTTCCGCTTCACAGATTGGCGAGGAAATGAGCCAGAACAGTTTCATAAAGCAGTATCTGGAAAAGCAGCAGGAGCTACTTAGACAGCGTCTGGAACGTGAAGCTCGAGAAGCTGCAGAACTTGAAGGTAAGCCCAGATTGTCACTTCTAACAAGTTTTTTATTGTTATCCCTGTCACAGTATAGATAGGCCTGTCTAACTAGGCAATTTCAGGAATAAGGCTGAGACTACTGCTCATTGGCTTTGGTAGTTTATGAAAACAAGTGAGTTATATTTACTTTGTCAGGGAAAGGACATTTAATTTGATTGTCTTGTTAGGTTTCCTGCCAATAGGAAAAGTTATAAGTAAATTTAACTACCATTTAGATGAGGTAGAGCTTAATCCTAGGGAGTTTTTTTTTTCCCCTTTATGTACAGTGCTCTTTTTGGTGTGTATCTTTGTATCTATGACTTTGCCTGACATCCTTCACTCCTCTACATATTCCCAAATGCTGAGCCCTTCACTCCCTCCCTGCCCCGACCCAATCTGTACTTTGCAGAAGCTTCAGCTGAGTCGGAGGATGAGATGATCCATCCTGGGGGAGTGGCTTCCCTGCTGCCTCCTGACTTTCAGAGCAGCCTGGAGAGACCAGAGCTGGAGCTCAGCAGACATTCACCCAGTACGTATCTCCCTCCCCGCTGCGCTTTTTTGTCAATCCTGCGTAGTTGGTGGGGGGAGGTAGTTATGCCTCCTTTCATGCTAAACCTTCATGAAAGTCTCAGGGAAATTCCATTACATTGATATTTGACATCTGTTTTTCAGGGAAATTATGTCTTTTTTGAATTCTGCTTTCACCTATGTGTTGTGTTAACTTTTTAGCATTTTAAGGCAGTATGATTTTTCTAATCATCTACCTCTTCAGTCTCTTGTACTTCTGAATTTAGCAGGTCACAGTTTACTTTGATCTCTATCAATTGTGTATAGTATGTGTTATACATCCAGTCATTCCTCCAATTAAGCACCCACTACAGTTATTAATTTATTCAACAAAAAATTTTTTTTGAGTATCTATTGTATACCTGGCATGTGCCAGGCCCCAGGAAAATGCTAGCGAAAAAGCCAAGTCAGTTGTAAAAAAACTTAAGAGTGTAGTAAGGGGATGGACTTTCAACAAATAATTACATAATTATAGTTGTGCTAAGTGTTTGAAAGGCAGTGCAGAATAATAAGTGAGCATATTATCAAGATCTCTAACCTAGTATATGGTATTGGTTCAGGCAAGATTAATTTTTTCACATTGTAAAAAATACTAGGCACGCAATTTTGCATTGTATCTCATGCAGAAGTCTATAAATAATAGCCTTTGCTATTTGGCAACCACTTAAGACTTTTTATACTTTCAGGAGAGCATGTTTATAAGATGTGGACGGTAGGTAGATGTATTAAATCAGTATCTAATTTAACGAGTATTTTGAATATTATCACTGCTGTTAGTCATCAGTGGTAGTAGGGGTGCCGCTCTTTTGATTAATGTAGGATTCATTAATGAAAATAGATTGGGGGAGGTATTTAATGATGGGAGAGAAATCTCCTGAAAGGTGAGGGAAAATGGAGGACCTTAGAGTCTAATTTTAGGATCTTGATTTGCTCAGTGCCTATTTTTCTTGATCCTATTCTTAGACCCATAGGGAATTTTGAGGGGGAAATTTTTTTTTTTTAATTTTTATTTATCTTCATTAATTTCAGAACAATATTGAGAAAGCCATTCCATGTAACCCAATGCTTGTCTATCCATGATATGCATTATAATACTTAGAAACTTTTTTTTTTTTTTTTTTGGTACCAAGGATTGAACTCGGAGACAGTCAAACACTGAGCCACATCCCCAGCCCTGTTTTGTATTTTATTTAGAGACAGGGTCTCACTGAGTTGCTTAGCACCTTGTTTATCTGAGGTTCGCTTTGAACTTGGAATCCTCCTATCTCAGCCTCCCAAGCCGCTGGGATTACAGGCATGCAAGCCATTCCTGGCTTGGAAACTTTTTTACATGCATGTTATTAGATTGGTAGGGATGAGGCCTGAAATTCTGAACTTCAGCAACTGTTGAAATGATGTAAGTGAGGCAGCTTTTGCCAATCTCTGAACCACATATCATGTAGCAGAGATCAAATATGATCGGGTGTGTTCTCCATGCCAGGATCTTAGAACATGAAGAAGCCACTAACACAATTCAATCCTACCTCCACACAGCTCAAGATCTGGGCTTCAGAAATAGGTCTTGAAGAGATGCCCTCCTAGCTGAGACTTGACCACCAGAGGGATGGAGAGTTGAAAATTTTTTCAATAAATTAACACTGGCAGCATGTTGGAATTATTAATAAGTTCCTTCAGGGTCTTCTTTTCTCCTCAAATATATATAAGACCCTCAGATGGTCCTCCTTAGTCTGAGTGCTCTTTTTTCCCTGACTGTAATGCCAAGAGGAAGAGGAAAGCTTTTTTGATTTTTTGGTATTGGGGAAATCAGAAACGCTTAACCACTGAGCCACATTTGAGACCCTTTTTTCCATATTTATTTACAGACAGGGTCTCACTAAATTGCTTAGGGTTTCACTAAATTTCTGAGGCTGTCTTTGAGCTCACAATCATCCTGCCTCAGCCTTCTGGGCCACTGGAATTATTGTGCCCAGCACGGAGGGGGACACTCTTGTTTAAATGAATTGTCAGTATTTTTTTCTCAAAAGCTAGTCAAGAAAATATATATTGACCTGGGTGCGGTGGCACATGCTTGTAATGTGAGCAACTCAGGTGGCTGGGGCAGGAGGATTGCAAGTTTGAGGCCAGCCTCAGCAAGTTAGCAAGATTCTCATCAATATAGCGAGACCATGTCTCAAAAGAAGGACTAGGCATGGTAAAGCACTCCTGGGTTCAATCCCCAGTACTGATTAAAAAAAAGAGAGAAAACACAGGATATTATTAGAAAGGACAAAGGCATAGAGATAGAAATGGTTATGATATTTTTAAAGAAGAGGTAGTATGTAGTATGGCAGAATAAAGTTATTTCATATTTGAGAATAGTTGTAGAAACAATCTAAAAGATAGATTGGGATAATATTACATAAGACTTTAAGTGCCAAACCAATAAATATGAGCATTTTTTAAATTTTATTTTATAGGAAATGGTGGAATTGTTTAAAATTATGAATAGGACCAAAAAAAGAAAGAAGATAGGTTTTCTCAATTCTAAGTGTAGTTTGAAATGAAAATGAGGAATAGATATTGAAATAAAAATAAGATTTCAAAAGCAAAGATTTAGAGTAAGGCTAGCCACTCTCTTCCCTGTTTTATGTCATTATTAGGATTCTTCCAGTGGCTATAATTGATGGGGGTAAAAGATATTCAGAAGTAAAAGAAAATGAGGGCTGGGATTGTGCCTCAGTGGTAGAGCGCTTGCCTAGCATGTGTGAGGCACTGGGTTCGATTCTCAGCACCACATAAAAATAAAAGTATTGTGTCCACCTACAACTAAAATATATATATATAATTTTTTTTTTTTTAAAGATAGATGAAAAATGCATTAGAAAACATGAATGTGTTGGGCTGGGGATGTGGCTCAAGTGGTAGCGCGCTCGCCTGGCATGCGCGAGGCACTGGGTTCGATCCTCAGCACCACATAAAAATAAAATAAAGATGTTGTGTCCACCGAAAACTAAAAATAAATATTAAAAAAATTCATTCTCTCTCTCTCTCTCTCTCTGTCTTTTTCTTTCTCGTCTCTTTCAAAACAAAACATGAATGTAGCCTTGTGTGGTGGCTCATGCCTGTAATCCCAGCAGCTTGGGAGGCTGAGGCAAGAGGATTGCAAGTTCAAAGATAGCTTCAGAAACTTGGCAAGGTTCCAAGTAACTTAGTGAAACCTGTCTCAAAAAAATACACATAAGAAGGGCTAGGGATGTGGCTCAGTGGTTAAGAGCCCCTGTGTTCAGTCCCTGGTACCAAAATACATTTTGGATCTTTGTCTTATATTTCAGTAACCTCTTGTTTTGTATTGCAGGCAATATCCCAAACAGGAAGTTTATAAAATCCTCCTTGACTTTCCTTTTGATATTTTCGGGGAGGGGCGGGGGATTCGAACTCAGGGGCACTTGACTCCTGAGCCACATCACCAGATGTGGCTTTTTATTTAGAGACAGGGTCTCACTGAGTTGCTTAGCACCTCACTCATCTGAGGCTAGCTTTGAATTTGCAATCCTCCTGCCTCAGACTCCCAAGACTCAGGGATTACAGGCATGCACCACCATGCCTGACTTCCTTTTATTTTTTTAAGGTGTTGAGAAGTTAGTATCCACTCTCCATAGTCAGAAGTTGTCTATATATCTCCTTCTATGTCATCCCTGAATGTATTTTTCTTAGTTATCTTTTTTCCAGAAGAAATGCAATCTGGGAAAATACAAAAATATTTTAAAATATATGTTCAGAATATGAATTTGTTTTCAGAATACTGATGTTCTAAAAATATTTTTAGTTGTAGATAGACACAATACTTTCATTTTATTTATTTATTTTTCTGTGGGGCTGAAAATTGAACCCAGTGCCTCATACGTGCTAGGCAAGTGCTCTAACACTTAGCTACAACCCCAGCCCCAGAATACTGATTCGTTTAACAAAGTTGTAGCCATGGGTTTTCTTAGCCAGCCCTTTTCTTAGAGTTTGTAGCATTTCTAAGCGGTTAGAGATTCATCACCTCTTATTTATGTTTTCTTATTTATGTTTCATATTTGAGGGGTCTGTCTGGTTTTCACAAAACAATGATGACCAAAACTTTCTGCTTTGTTTCTACAAATCTTTTTGATGACCTATTTAAGTGTTTCCAGAGGAGTAAAAATCCAGAATCAACTGTAGTTTTACAGTATCAAAAATAATATCATAGGGGCTGAGGTTGTGGCTCTGTTAGAGCGCTCACTTAGCACATGCAAGGTGCTGGGTTCATCCTCAGCACTACATAAAAATAAATAAATAAAATAAATGTATTGTGTCCAACTACAACTAAAAATATATATATTTAAAATATAGCTGGGTGTGGTGGTGCACACCTGTAATCCCAGCAACTTCAGAGGCTGAAGCAGAAGGATTGCAAGTTTGAAATCAGCATGGGCAACTTAGCAAGGCCCTGTCAATTACAGTGAGGACTGAGTGTAGTGTTGCACATCTGTAAACACAGCTACTTGGGAGACTGAAGCAGGAGCATTGCAAGCTGGAGGCCAGCCTCAGCAATTTAGTGAGGTCCTGTCACAAAATAAAAAATAAGAACTTGAGGTATAGTTCGGTGGTCAGAGTCTGAACCATCATTATAAGTATCATAATTATAGATTCTGCACATAAAATCATAATCTGAGAGCCTGTTAATCAAGTGATTATGAAATAAAGTTTTACAAAATTGTCTTATAGTCATTTCATTAGTTTTTTTTTTTTTTTTTGCTTTTGTTTGGTCACTACAGTAGCAAAGCCTAGTTCATGTTAGAGTAATGGGATATAGAAATAAAAAGATCTGGAATTAGTTTTTACCATCTGCTTTATCTGCACTAGTTTAGATGCTATTAATTTAGAACATGGTTCTCTGGATCGTTTAAACCTTTTGTGTTGTGCCAAAACTGAACTCAATCTAGTCGATTAAATCTGAAACATAGTTAGTTACCTTTGTGCTTTTTGTTTGTTATTTTTGCAATGCTGGAGTTCCAACCCAGGTCTTCACACATTCTAGACAAGTACTTTCCCACTGAGTTATTCTCTTTTCTCAACTAGCATCAAGATCTTATCTCTTCCTTCTATCACTGAACTATACTTGTAGTCCTTCTATGTAATATTTTAATACTGGTAGGAAACTTCAAGTTCAACCCTATCCAAGGCATGAAACTAACATTACTTAAGTGATTTACTTACAGTTGTCTTCCTTCATAGAATATTAGTGAAACCTTCAGTTTTACATGGAATTATCATTCAGAATGACCTAGATTGGTGGTTTACAAACTTTATTTTAACAGCCACCCCCCCCCCCCCAAAAAAAAAAAAAAAATCTTTCTCCTTGAGCTCCAACATATAATATATACTCAAAAGGACTCAGTTCTGAAGCCCTGTCCAGTTAGCTCAAGTGATTTCTAGGAACAATGGGGCCCTGGAAACCATTCATCTAATTCTTTTTTCTTGAGTTTATCATTGTACAAATTGACTGGTTTATTTAATCATAATATTTTGATCAAAATTAGCAAATAGTGGCAATAGGGTGTTTTGAAAAATGGGCCTAGAACAGAGTGAAGTCTTGAGCTTTGGTTCAGAATAACAAAACACTTTGTAGAAATAAGTGCTTTGTATATTCCTGCTAGACAATTTGAAGTCTCTAAAGTTATTTTAGTTTTATTTGTGGTACATAACTCATGTAGTATGTATGTGATGTTGAAAATATTCTAGACATGCACACCAGGAATAATCAATAAGACCCTGACTTTCAGGGCTATGTATAGTCTTTTTTGAACATGGAAGCCAAAGAAATTGATAAAAGATACATATTGATAAAAGATACATATCAAAACAGCTTATATGCCACAGTTTGTTGGATTTTAGAAAGTCATGAATGAGTGTTCATGACATTAAATCTGACTTGATTTTCTTTCATTTGATAGGAAAAGGCTCCTCTGTTTCTGAAGAGAAAGGTGAATCTGATGATGAGAAACCAAGAAAAGGAGAAAGACGATCATCTAGGGTCAGACAGGTAATCAAATACTTCCTAAACATTCAGTCACCTCTCTGAGTGGTGCTTTGAAATATCTCCCCCTCCTCCTTTTCCTCCTCAAACTGTTTTCGAGGTAGTGTTTTTATAAATTTTTATATAGTCATCTTCTCACTTCTCTTTGTCACTTTTTTATGCTTTTTTTTTTTTTTTGTATGTTTGTTTAGGTCTGATCTAGTCTTTAGAAATCAAAGCAAATATATAGATATATGAAAGTTAGGTTGGTCTGCATTCTTTATATATAGATAGATAGATAGATAGATAGATTTTTTTAGTTGTAGTTGGACACAATAGCTTTTTATTTTATTTATTTATTTATTTTTAAGTGATGCTGAGGATCGAACCCAGGGCCTCACATGTGCTAAGCGAATGTTGTACTACTGAGCCACAATCCCAGCCCTGGTTGTATTTTTAAAGCACATTATTAGAAAAGATACAGCATAATTAATTTTTTGGTTAAAACTTTAAAACTGTTAGAACAATGTTAAGTGAGCAGAGTACAAAGGCATATGTGTAGCATAATTAAGACCATGCAAAGAAAGGTAAGGAAAAAAGAATGAAAAGAAATATACTAAAATGATAAAAATAGGGGCTGGTATGGTAGATCAATGTGGTAGAGTGCTTGCCTAGCATGTGTGAGGCACTGGGTTCAATTCTCAGCACCACATATAAAAAAATAAAGGTTCATTGACAAATAAAAAATATTTTTAAAAATGATAAAAATAATCAGATTATGTGACAGTATTTTTGTTTTCCTCCCTGATTCTAGATGTTTAAAAACTTGAAGCTAAAAAATGAACTACAAGCAGCTTCATTATTCCTTTTGGTTACTGTTATTTTGATTCCCAAAAGGAACCCACATTAGTCATAGTTATCTACTGTCATACCTGTTTCTGTGTTAACAAAATTGTATATCATTGAATTTCTTATTCTTGGGAGTATTAAATGGGATGCTTTTTCTCCATTGATTGTGAGCAAATATATTTGGAACTGTTTTATATCTTTTCTTTCAGGCAAGAGCAGCTAAATCCTCTGAGTGTAGTCAAGCTGCTGAGGGGGAAGAGAATCAAGAAGTACCTTCTAGAAATCTGAGGGTCAGAGCAGATCGAAATTTGAAAACTGAAGAGGAAGAAGAAGAGGAGGAGGAGGAGGAAGATGAGGAAGAGGAAGAGGAAGAAGAGGAAGGACAAAAATCTAGGGAGGCACCAATCCTGAAACAGTTTCAGGAAGAAGAGGGAGATGTGATGCCCAGAGCAAAACCAGAGGAGGTGATTGATGAGAGACCCAAAACCATAAGAGCGCAGGAACAGGAGGGGCTAGAGAGAGGAGGACGAGTTACAAGATCCCAGGAAGAAGCTAGAACTCGTCATCTCACCAAACAGCAACAAGAGAAAGAGATGCAATCAGTTTCCCCCCTTGAGGAGAAAGGAGAAGAAATAAAATTTTCACAAGGCTTGGAAGAAAAATCACAGTCCCCTTCCCCTCCTCTACTGACCGAAGATCTAGAGAAGGCCCCTCTTGTGCTACCACTGGAGCAAACTGCCAGTGAGGAGGAGACTCCCCCACCTTTACTTACCAAGGAAGCATCTTCTCCACCACCTCATACACAACTCCAGAGTGAGGAAGAAATAGAACCCATGGAAGGCCCAGCACCCCCTGTCCTCGTCCAGTTATCTCCTAATACAGATGCTGAGACCAGACAGCTTTTAATATCTCAGCATACTGTGCAGTTGGTAGGTGGCCTGTCGTCTTTGTCAAGTCCTGCAGACACCAAAGCAGAATCTCCAGCAGAGAAAGTGCCAGAAGAGAATGTTCTGCCTCTACTTCAGAAAAGCACATTGGCTGAATACTCAACCCAGAAAGGTCTTGAAACTGAGCCAGAAAAATCTGCTCAGCCAGTCTCTTTAAAAATGGAGGAATTAACATCACCCAAAGGCATTACTGAGGAATCTCTGAAACAACCATCTTTGGAACAGAAGGAAGGCAGAAGGGCTTCACATAATCTTTTCCCAAGCCACAGATTGAAACAGTCAGCTGACTCATCCTCTAGCCGATCCTCCTCCTCCTCTTCCTCCAGTTCTAGATCTAGGTCTCGTTCTCCTGATAGCTCTGGCTCTCAGTCTCTCTCACCTCCGAGATCCAAGCAGAGAGATATATCCCAGGCACGAATTCACGCCAACCCTCATGGTAGACCCAAGACAGACTCCAGGTCAACATCAGAATCTAGGTCACGTTCCCGATCTCGTTCCCGTTCCCATTCAGCATCAAGCAGCAGCAGAAAAGTGAGTATGAGAGATTCCTGTGTGTGTTGAAATTCTGTCTGTAAGCCAGTGTTTTTCATCCCCAGAAGAACCTGTCATAATTTCTAACAGGAATAGGAAAAGCTTCCTTTAGTCCCCAGTTCACTGATAATTTACCCTCATCCCAGAGTCTAATTTTCAATTAATTGGCCCCTAACTGGAATTGTTTTCCATTCTGAGTCCATTTGTTTCCAAAGAAAGTTACTCTCATGCTGTGCTGGACATAAACTTCTTGAGGGTGTGGATATGCCTTAATGTGGGTATCCCAGTACTCAGCATCTAATTGGAACCTAGTAAATTTGTTGATAAGTAGTAAGGGAGATCAGTAATTCAAGCAGGAATAATAAATACAAAGACTTTTTTTTTCTCCCCAAGTTCTTGTAGTGGTCCGTACTTAAAAGAATTTAACCTTTATTTTTATTTATTTGTTTTTATGTGGTGCTAAGATTTGATTGAACCCCAGCCCCCACAAAGACTTTTATTCAGCCATGAGAAGAAGGAAATTATGTCATTTTCAGAAAATGGTTGGAACTAGAGACCATAATTTTGAGTAAAATAAGTGAGAGAGGAAAGTGTCATGTGTTTTTTCTCATTTGTGGAAACTATAGAAGAAAAAATAGCAGGGGAGAAAAGAATGTGATGAAAGTAGAACGGAGACCATTAGGGTAGTGAAAGGGAAGCAGGAGGGGAGGGTAAGAAGTGAAATTGTTCAGATTATGCTTATATATATGTACATATGAATATGCCACAGTGAAACCAATTATTCTGTATGAATATGTACCCCCCCAAAAAAAAAAAAAAATCTCAGGTATGAATTGGGTTAGCACAAGTTGGAAAACTCAATGATTTACTGATTATTTACCATCCATCTACACAAACACACACACACACACAATGTGTACCATATAAAGTAATTTTCTTTTCTCTGCGTTTCATTTAATTTCTTCAGTCTCTGAGCCCTGGAGCCTCCAGGGACAGCAACACCAGCTACACTGAAACCAAAGATCCCTCTTCTGGTCAGGAGATTGCAGTTCCACCAATGCCACAGCTGCAGGTTCTTGAGCCAAAGGAGAGAACTTCCACCTCCTCATCCATCCAAGTGAGGCGTCTGAGCCAGCCTGAGCCAGCCGAAAAGCTCATGACCCAGAAGTTACAGCCTGAGCGGGTAGGCTATCGTGACCTTTCCCTAGAGGGAGATGGAGAATTAGGCATAGTTTTCCTTTTTGTCTTAACTGTAAAATTGAGAAGTCAGTCTGGACAAACCTCAGGAGAAATGTAGAGGGTAGGGGTAGGGGACACTTGTTAATCCTACTTAACTCATTTCTACTCCCTGGTTTATAAAAGTTCTCCATGAGGCTGAGAAGCAGTGTTCTCATCTCCAGGGCTCTCAGCATCAGTTCTTGCTCAGAACTTCTTCTTATCTGCCCCAAAGGAAGACTTTTATCGGTTCTCCAAAAAAGAATTCTAAGGGTTGGGATATATCCCCAGTCAACTCAGTGGTAGAGTATGTGCTTAGCATGGATAAAACTCTAGTTCAATCCCCAACACTACCGCTCACCATCCCCACCAAAAAAAAAAAAAAAAAAACCCTAATGAAATGATTGCTGACTTAGAAATAAGGTCTTAAAAAGTATTTATCTTGAGAGCTGGAGATAAAGTTCAGTTGGTAGAGTACTTGCCTAGCATGTACATGGTCCTAGGTTCAATCCCCAGCACCACCACCAAGAAAAAAAAGGTATCTCTTTTTAAGCTACATTATAGTCAACATTCTAAGATGAAATAATGCAGATATAGAGGACTTTGTGATTGAGCTGGTACTGTATATATACTCGCCTGACTTTCTTGTTTTGTTTTGTTTTACATTTCTACAAAATTTATTGTTATAATATTATGCAATATAATTCTGTTAAATAGGCTTTGTTTACTTCAAAAATTTTATTTCCTACTCCCATACAAGATTAATCATGTTATTCTGTTAGAGATTAGAAAAAGAGCACTGGGCTGGGTGTGGTGATCCATGCCTGTAATCCCAGCTACTCTGGAGGCTGAGACAGGAAGATTGCAAGTTCAAAGCAAACCTCAGCAACTTAGTGAGATCCTGTCTCAAAATAAAAAAATGAAAGGACTGGGGATGTGGTTCAGTGGTTAAACACCTCTTAATACCAAAAACCCTAGTACCAAACACTGTAGTACCAAAAAAGAAAAATAGCTTTGGAACAGATTTCATATTTCTTAAATGTCCACACTTTATTCTACCCTTCATCTTTTTTTTTTAATATTTATTTAGTTGTAGATGAACACACAGTATCTTTATTTTTAATGTGGTGCTGAGGATTGAACCCAGTGCCTCACACATGAGAGGCAAGCACTTTACCACTGAGCTATAGCCCCAATCCCTACCCTTCATCGTTTTTTGTTTGTTTGTTTGTTTGTTTTTTAAGAGAGAAAGAGAGAATTTCAATATTTATTTTTCAGTTTTTGGCGGACACAACATCTTTGTTTGTATGTGGTGCTGAGGATCGAACCCCCGGGCCACACGCATGCCAGGAGAGCGCGATACCGCTTGAGCCACATCCCCAGCCCTACATAGAACAAAGATTAGTTGTCTTGTCTAACTATAATGGTAGTTATTAATATGTAACATTACAAATGGTGTCATCCACTTACATACTCAGCCTGTGTTTCTTCTATATATTAATGTCTGATCGAGATAATTACTTATTTAATGTCTGAGAAACTCAAGAATGCAGAACAGATTTAAACCATCAAAATGAAAACAAGTTTTTGAGTGAAATATAATAATAAGCATGGATAAACATGAAACTGGATTGTACATTTTTCTCCATCAGATATTGACAACTTCCCTCCAGTTGTTTAATTAGCTTCTTAAATGGTGTAATTGAATGGTCCCCTTCCCATTCTTCTTTATAAAATTATGGGGTATTCTAGTGATTCACACATTCACAAAGTGACCACTCCAAGACTTCAGTTAAGAGTTTCCTCAGTTATGTCAAAATCTGTGAAGTTGGGGGCTGGGGTTGTGGCTCAGTGGTAGAGTGCTTGCTTAGCATGTGTGAGGCACTGGGTTTGATTCTCAGCACCACATATAAATAAATGAATAAAATAAAAGTCCATCAATGACTTAAAAAAAAATGAAGTCATCATAAAAGGAAGTGTGAAGCTGAAGAGGCAGAGCCACCAGCTGCCACACAGCCTCAAACCCCAGAAACTCAGACCTCTTATCTACCAGAATCAGAAAGGATTCATCCCACTGTGTAAGTGATAAATCTTGACCTGGGTATAAAAAGGAACTAGGAATGTGGGACCAATCTTTGCTGTCTAGGATTCTTTGAGAAGCCCTAGTTTCCTTTTAAAACATGAAGGCAGGGTGGGAGTGTAGCTCCTTTAAGGAGCAAACAACTGAAGCTTCTATCTCCTCACTCAAGATATATAAAGGAGTCAACTCAGGGAATCTTAACTCAGTCTTTAACTCATATTTATTAACTACACCTGTGGCCACGCAGTTAAACAAAGGATATTGAGGGTTTGTAAAGAAGCACAGTCCTTCCTTCAGCACACAGTGCAGCAGTATATGAAGTTCCTATGAAGTCAGATATTGATTCCTGAGCCCCTAAGATTCTTCGATTGATCTTATAATTATATCAGGTTAAATTTGTAATTGAATAAGTACATTATTCATTATTCTGAACTTGAAATTATAAGAAGTTATTGAAGCAACAAATAAAAAATTTTAAAAAAAGAAGTCATTGAAACCAGGTGTGGTAGTTCATGCCTGGAATTACAGTGACTTGGGAAACTGAGGCAGGAGGATCACAAGTTCCAGGCCAGCCTCAGCAACTAAGCGAAGCCCTAAGCAATTTAGTGAGATACTTAGTGATACTTACTGAGCCCCATCCCTGGCCCTTTTTTCAGTTTGAGACACTAATTTAAAGACACTAAAGTCTCAAACTGAAAAAAGGGCCAAGGGATGGGTCTCAGTGGTAAAGCACTTCTGGGTTCTTCCCTCCCAGTACCAAAAAAAGAAAAGTCATTGAGTCAGAATTCATGGTTTCAACGTTTCATGGGAAATGGGGGGGGGGAAGCATTATAGAAATAGAAATAGAATTGCTTAGCTTTAGGACATCAGGAATTTTGAACTGTTTTAGAGAATGTCTTATGCAGACTATTAGCCTCAAGTTGTTCCATAATTGTTTTTATGTCATTTTAGTACTGTTATTATCAGTATTATTTTTCCTGTGTATAATAATCTGATAATTTATACACTTAGGAGACCTTCAGATTGTCTTTTGACTCTGAATTTTGGAGGTTAGTGGGCAGGGGACATGATTTATTATCTCATATCCTTGTGATATTAATGTTCGTTTCATATGCCTTAACATAGATTTTGCCTTGCTACTGTCCATTCTCATATTCTTGCTTCTTCTGCCATCTTGTGGCCATTACATTTTTTGGTTTGATTTTCCTTTTTGAGATGGGTATATTATCCTTTGGAAAAGGGTTTTTCTTCTAGGACCATAAAAGAAAACTCAGCGGATACTGGAAGATGTTTAGAGTTCCTCAGTTATATCATCAATGAGAAAATGGGGTGACATCTTTCCTTCCATATAACTCATACAGACATAACATCTGCTTTCCCCTTCCTGCCCCTATTCCATGAAGGTACAGCGTGCCCTTTTTTCACGATGTTGACAGTTTCAAAGTGGGTATTGACAACCTACTACTAATTTGCCCTGAGGAACTTCTTCCTATGCACCTCAAGAAACAGTAATTTTCTTAAAAGCTCCTTGCTAGCCTTAAAGTTCTGGGTTTGTAAGATCCTAGCAATAGAAAAGCATTTTATGTTGTTTGGAAGATTCTTTATTTCTCAACTTTCCAATTCAAGTCCAAGGAAAATGAAGCTTGGAGTCATATACAGAGTTTTCCTTCCCGGGTAAAGGTGGCTTTGACCTTCATTCTATGATATAATCTAGTCACATTGATTTTGACAAAGTATTAGGGAAATGACACCATCAGCAAATATTGAGATTGTCCATTGTTGCCTAGGCAAGCTTCATTTGAGCATCCTGTAGACTAGAGATGCAGTCTACATTTGGAATAGCTGAGACACATCCCTCTTACCTTCTTTCCTTCTGCTGCCTGCCAGATAGTCTCTTCAACAGCCTAAAAAAAAAAAAAAAAAAAATGCCCACAGGCCTAAACTCATAGGCTATTTTTAATATTAAATTTGGTGAATGAATGCTTGAGAAGTTTGCCTTCATTCTGCCTGACTCACAACATTTCTCCTAGTCTTTTTCACCTTCCACAGTGCTAGTGTTTAGTATGGGAGTCCTCTAGAGCCCTAGCCAACTTTAAAAGTGGGATCAACAGTACCAAATGGAAGAAACCATTTGTGGCTTAACCTTTGTTGTCTTCTCTCAACAAGAAGTGACAATGATTTAAAAAAAAAAACCAGCAATAAAGTGTTAAAAAATAAATTAGACTTTATCTTCAGGACTTCTTACTTTTTGGAAGAGATTGGCTAACTTATTTGCTATACTTGGTTAAACCTGTTCCCATTATGAGTGCCTGAGGAATTCTAGGTTTATGAGGTCAGGTGTCTTTTTTATTACTTAGAGCAGGGATTTGTAAGCCCTCAATCCTATTTCAATCAATCCCTGTTCCAAAATCTAGTCTTCTCTCTCCTATGCCTTTAACAGAAGTTTCCTCATACAACAGAAATTATAGTACTCTCTTTTTTTTTTTAACATTATAAAACAGTAGGGGATAAGGCTGAGGCAAGAGGCTCTCAAATTCAAGGCCACCCCAGGCGACTTAGTGAGACCCTGTCCTTTTTTTTTATATTTATTTTTTAGTTATAGGTGGACATAATGTCTTTATTTTACTTTATGTGGTGCTGAGGATCAAACCCAGTGCCTCACACATGCTAAGTGAGTGCTCTACCTCTGAGCCACAACCCTAGCCCAAGACCCTGTCTTAAAGAAAATGTTGGGAATGTAGCTCAGTGGTAGAACATTTGACCTAGTACGCATGAGGCCTTGGGTTCAATCCCTAATACCACAAAACAAACAAACCAACAATAAGGGGCAAAAGGAAAAAAGGATAATAAAAGTGTATAGGCAGCTATATCATTTAGTAGTAGTTAATTCAAACCTGAATTAATTAAACACAACCTTCTGACACAAACTTAGCAGGCATTCGCAACTTAAGGCTCTTGATACTAAGGGAGTATTTCTGTAAACCAATGTGACAATGTAATTGATATTTTCCAGGGGATCTACAATGCCTGTATCCCAAGTGATGCATAAATTAAAAAAAAAAAAACATAATTTGTCATAAGTATTATGAGTTTGCTCATTGAGAACTTTGTATCTAAGGACATACCCTCCAAAATCATACTGTCCTTAGTTAACTTGGAACTAGTAAGTTCCTGAGGGATCAAGTCCCAGT